TCCTCCTCCGCCTCCGCCTCGTCCTCCTCCTCCTCCTCTTCCTCTTCCTCCTCCGCCTCCTCCTCATCATCATCATCCTCCTCTTTTTCCTCATCCGCCTCCTCGTCCTCATGTTCCTCCTCCTCCTCCTCCTCCTCCTCCTCCTCCTCCTCCTCCTCCTCCTCCTCCTCCTCCTCCTCCTCCTCCTCCTCCTCCTCCTTGTGCGCGCCGGCAGCACGTGCGAAGCACGGAGAATAGGAGAGGCCCCAAGCTCCAGGCTTCGGGCGGCGTTCTCGGGCGGCTGTCTCCCTCGGCGGCGGGCCCGCGGAGGCAGCGAGAGGGGGCGGCCGGCCTTCCGGGAAGGCTCGGAAGGCCCCCGCGGCCGAGAAACTCTCGAGGCCCTCCCCGAAGGCACAAGAAAGCCTCTCAGAAGGCGCGAGGGCTTCCGAGAAGTCCCGCCGCCTTCCGCGAAGGCCTTCTCCTCCTCACTTCTGAGCGTGTTCGTATTCGGCGTTTCGACATGGGGCGGAGAGGGGGAGGACCTCTGGTTAGTACGGCTCTGGAACTCTGCTTAGTCCGGCTGTTTGCAAGAGTGCTGCCCCTGGGTGAGGGGCTCCACCTGCTCGAAACGGGCGCCAAAAACAACCAAGATCTACTCCATGGGGGAAGGGGAGGCGAGGGGGGGGGCGAGGGCCCGCGCCGATCGGCAAAAGGAGGCGGCCCAGCGTCGAAGACCTGGTACCGCAGGGATGGGGCCGCGGTGCCCGCGGCCACGAGAAGATCGCGGCGTCTGGTGGGCTCTGGGGCCCGGCTTCGCGCGCCGCCGCGCCCGCGGCCCAGTTGTGGAGAGCAGCTGTCCAGCGGGGCGAGAGGCGCGGCGGTCTTCGCGCCCCTGACTGCGAGGCGTGGGCCTGTCATGCAGTCGAAGCATGGGCACACGAACGTGAGTCAAGAACGCGCGCACCTCACAAAGGCCCAAGGCCCCGAGGAGATCCACAGGACGAAGGACATTCCAGGGTGGAGAGCACAAACCCGAGGAACACATGAGGGTACCCCATTCAAGGCCAGGGTTGTTCTTCACACTCGCGCCAGCTGTGCAATCATCGTACTACCCCTACGAGGAGCGCTGAAGAAGGAACGAGGGGCGTCCCTGGCCACGGCGAGCCTCGGCGGCGAACAGGTCCCCCGACCTGGACTCGAGGAGCGGCCCGAAAAGTGGAGCCCGTCCTGGGCCCGCAGTGGTCCTGATGTCATCGCCGCTGCTGTAACAGGCACGGCCGCCTGCCGACGTCCCCGAGGATCGATCCCCCAGGCGGTGGGCATGTGGCTGAGCCCCTGCCTCGGGTCCAGCCTGGACCCCCCTTGGGGGCTTGCCGCTCATCCTGAGCTAAATAATAGTGTTGCTCCAAGGCCAGGCCAGGACCCCAGAGGCCACGAATTCCCGAGCGCGTGCCGAGCACCTCCGGTCGTGCACGACGCGAGGATCTGGCGGGCCATAACTCCAAGCTTCTGGCGGCCGATCGGGACGATTCGAGCACACCCAGAACGCTCTCGACGAGGCCCAGAAGGCATCCCGAGGCGAGAAAGTCTTCAAAAACTGACGAAAGCCCGCGCAAACCCCTGAGAGTAGGTGCCCTCCGTCGTGCTTTTGTCCACGACGCGAGGACGTCAGGGAATTAGCTTTCTCCACGGCACACGAACCTCCAGGGAGCATCAGGGACACACCTCATAGCATTGAGGGAGGGGGGCCGGCGGTCGGGAAAGCCTGGAGCATCAGCCTGTTGAGCTCGGCGCTCGGGCGCACGTTGGCCCGCCGCATCTCGCGGAACCACGAGATTGCGCGGGGCATATCGCCGGCCCGGACGCAGCCGCCGATGATCTCGGAGTACGTGTCCTCGCCCACCTAATTGGCAGCGCACGGGAGGGACTTCGTCCGACACGTCCATCGGTCTTCTTGACGCTCGATCGCATCGAGATGCGCTCGGGCAGCTGCGCGTCGTCGAGAGCGTTCCCCGGGGTGCCCGAGTCGTCCCGATCGGTCGCCAGAGACCCGAGCACTGAGCCCAAAGCCAGGAATCCTTAAGAGGGGATATGTCGACTCGGCGGTGGACAAACCTCCCTTTAGTAAACCTCCCCTTAGTGAAAACGGCCTGGGACCGAAACCCGCGGACCTGGACCCGCAAACATGACGGCCGCGACGCCCTCTCGCGAACCGAAAAAGGCCAATTCCTCAATCGACGTGTCAGGGTAGGAGGCCTGTCCACCCCCGATCGACCCCTATCCCAAAAGACGGCCGCATTGCGGGCCCGCGGCATGGCCCGGCCTCCCCGCGCGTCCCCCCCCCGCTCGGAGCTTGCCCGCTCCCGGCGCGGACGTGGCCAGCCTGCGGCCTCGATCACGGGTGCTTGGCGCCGGCTCTGGACACCAAGCTGCGGCTCCCGCGGAAGCCCTCCGGAGGCATCTTGGGGCCGGGGAGGAGGGGGAACGATGGTTGGTAGGGATTCGAACTCCATACACCGACGCTTCTTCCGGCCCTGCATTCGAATCTGCACTGGAGAGCGGATACTGGTGTATACGGGACCCTGGTGTATACATTTTTCGTTGCTTTCCCGGGACATCGGAAAAAAGTATACACCACACCACCCCCGCGTCGTCCTCGACCCCCAAGAAATCCTGGGATTGAACACAGCCCGCCACTGGTAATGTATATGTTCCAGTTGCCGAGTGGGGGGGGGGGCGGAGGGGGAGACCAGCTCGGAGGGCGGGGGGAGCACTGCCGTGGCATCGGCGGCACCATCGCCGCCAGAGCAGAGCGACGACAGGCCCCCCGGAGGGCGGAGCCGCACGCACCCGGGCGGGTCAGGGCACCCGGGCCCCGATCGGCGAAGCGTGGGCGACTGGGGGTCGAGGCCCCCCCCTCGCAGGAACGAGGAGAGGCGACACCACCACCGCCACCACCACCACCACCACCACCAGCGCAAGGCCACAGGAGGGGGGTGGTTGGCCCCCGCGCGGAGGCATCGTGAACCCCGCGGTGGTACGCGGTCCCCCCCCCCGCTCGCTCGAGACCTCCCCCATCCGCAACTCGGGAAGGCATCGTGCACCCCCCTCGCTGGAGGCGGCCCCGTGGCCCCAGGGGGGGGGGCGGGCGGGCCGGCCCAGGGAGGAGCGGAGATGGTGCCCGCGACGCGAGGCGCCCCTTCTGCGCAAAAAAAAAATAAGAAACAGGAGCAAAAACGAGCACAGCAAGAGCGCAGAGGCACGTGCTGGGAGGCTGGGCTTAAGTCGGGCATGTCCCCCGACAGGGGGATTTTGGACGAGCAAAAAAATACAAACAACAAAAAAATCCAGAATGGCCAAAAATAGTTTAAAACATCGCCCCCAGACTGACTATTTGTTGAAATGTTCCACCTGAAGAGGGACAGGCCCGACTTAGGCTGGGCCGAAGCTGCGACCGCACTGGCAGCGTCGAGCACTGGAGCCTGACCTCGTGGCACATCCCGAGGCCCTCCGCGTGCCGAGGGCGCTCGCGCAGTCTCGCGGCCCTCCCCTTCCTCCCCCCCTGCCTCCTCCTCCTCCTCCTCCCCCTCCTCCTCCTCCTCCTCCTCCTCCTCCTCCTCTCCTCCTCCTCCTCCTCCTCCTCCTCCTCCTCCTCCTCTCTCCTCCTCCTCCTCCTCCTCCTCCTCCTCCTCCTCCTCCTCCTCCTCCTCCTCCTCCTCCTCCTCCTCCTCCTCCCTCCTCCTCCTCCTCCTCCTCCTCCTCCTCCTCCTCCTCCTCCTCCTCCTCCTCCTCCTCCTCCTCTCCTCCCCCTCCTCCCCCTCCTCCTCCCCCTCCTCCCCCTCCCTCTCCTTCCTCTGTGCCCCCTTCGCGCCCGACTCGCCCCGCGGACAGCCGACAGACGACCGCCTGCTGGATCCGGCTCCCCGCTGCGAGGGGTCTCAGAGAAACAGCCTGGGGGCCCTGTCTGGGCCTCGCTCGGAGAATGCCTCTCTGGGTCGGAGAACGGGCGAGAGAAAGGGCCTATAGCTCGGAGAAAGCCTTCACGACGCGAGGGTGACCGCCAACGCACCCCGAGCGCAAGCCAAAAGCCCCTGCGAAATAACGACGCGCTTCGAACGCCCCCCCCCGGAAAAGACGCCAGGAGGCCGGAGGCACGCGCGGCTGGCGTCGCGCTCGGAGCTCGGGGGCCGCGCGCCGGAAGCGCGTGCGGAGGAGAGGCGCGCCCAGCCACGGAGCGGCCGGGCGAGAGACGTGCGGCCCTTCGCTCTCGCCAGCGCCCGGCCGCTCCGTGGCCGGGCGCCGGCGAGAGCAGCGTCGCATATGCACCCAGCGTCCTGCAGCGTCGCATATTCACCCAGCGTCCTGCAGCGTGAGAAGCAGCAGCATACGGCTGGCGCGTTGGAGAGATGGCGTGCGACATCGATCTGCGTCGGAAAGGCGGCTCTGGAAAGGTGGTGTGCGACCATCCCCGTGCCAGTTCTTCCTCCGTGCACGCTATGCCCAAGGGTGGGGACAGCATGTAATCCGCGGGCTGGCAGCGCCACGGCGCAATATCGCACGCTATCTCTGCAACGCCAACAACAACAGCATGCGCATCAACGTCCAGAAACCCGCGCGGTCCCTGCCGTGCTCGCGTCGCCAAAAAAACGCGACGGCTGATGGTTGCGATATTGTAACCCTGGGTGGCCAGGGCCGTCAAATCACGACTCGGGATGAAAGCTGGTCCCTGGGAAGGGGTCCAGACCTCTGGGGAGCCACGCTGCGAAAAAGAGCACGACGGTGGCTGCGAGGTCACCACATCCGGTGGGCTCTTTGCGCCGCCAGAGATGCCAGGACGTCGCCCCGCTTGTCAGTCGACCTACTGCTGCGCTCGCTGTGGCCTGCTGGCTAGCTGCTCCAAAGAAGAAAGAAGCCCGCGCGGATTGCTTCTGGGGCCATCGCTGGATCACACCCCTCGCGCCCCTTCCCCGTCGCTGGAGGCGCCGCCCAGGGGTGAGAGGAGGGGGGACTGGCGCCGACCCAAGAGAAACGCGCGGAGATCCGACCGAAAGTATGGTTCATGTCGTTTCAGAGGGCCTCTCGAGCGCAGTGCCTCCGAAGTCCTCGGAAGGCCATAGAAAACCCCGAAGGCCTCCGGAGGCCTGAGAGAAGGCCAGACACGTCCGAAGACCTCGACCCTCGATCCTCGAAGGGTTTGGGAATCCCGGCAGCCACCCGGATGCCGATCTCGGGCATCTTCTGGACCTGGGCGCGCCCGAAATGAGGACGGCGAAACTGGGGACGATGACCAGCAGCAAACCTGACCCAGAAGCGGCAGCGGCCAGTGCTGGGCAGGCGACCTGTCCCGAACGGACACCGCCCGCGGCGGCACCGACTGCGAGTCGTGGTCAAGATGGGCAGGGACTGATGCTGGTCTGAGTCCCCGCTCTTCCTGGCGGCGCGCACAAGGGGGTGGGGGGGGGGGGGGGGCTTCTTAGAAGGAGGCTGCTTCTTAGAAGGCGCCGGCCCTTACATCTATAGATCAGGCCCGCGCCTTCTAAGAAGAAGGGGTGCTTCTAAGAAGCCCTCCCCCTCCCCCCACCCCCCACTGCGCGTGGCTGATCTTCGGAGAGCAAAAATCATATCAATGGCACGTAGGTCGGGCGACCCCACCAGCGTGTCACTGTTGAAGAACGGCCAGGCCGTTGTACAACAGACGAGCGAGCAACACGCACAGATGGTACGACCACGCGCGTGTCATCGATACTCCTGATGCATCCCCAGACATCCGACGTCTTGCCCTTCCCGCAGCACGGATGCCCAGACGCTTGGACTCTGGACCCCGCTCACAGGGACAGGCCTGTCCTCCCGAGCCGCTCTCCGACGGTCGGGCTGCCCAGAGAACGGTCAGGATGACAGGCCGGACTTTCCCGGGGCCTGGCAAAAAGCGCCTCCCAGCGGCCGAAGCTTGCCAGCGGCCTTCCGCCGCTGCTTCTTGTCACGACGCGAAGGGGTCCTCTGGGCACGACGGGGGCCAAGGCTTCAGCCCGGAGGAGGAGGAGGAGGAGGAGGGGGAGGGGGAGGGGAGGAGGAGGAGGAGGAGGAGGAGGAGGAGGAGGAGGAGGATGATGATGATGCCCGCGGGGTGAGGCGGACCGCGTCGAGCCACGGCCACCCCTGCGAGGCGCGCGCCCCACGCGCGCCCGCGCCTCGGCGCAGCTACGCACCCGAGGCTGTCGGCTGGGCCTCACCCCGCGCGGCCCGCAGCAGCCTCGCCACCTTGGCTGCCAAACCTGGCGAGCTGCTGCGCTCCCGCGCGCCACGCCGCGGCCTCGGCCAGCCGCTTCCGCCGCCCGCAGCCCCTGCTTCGCTTCGAGCAGCAGAGCCACCTGCGGGCGGCATCCTCTCCTCCTGCAGCCCGCTCTCCATGGCCACGTGGTCGCCGCCCGCAGCCCCTGCTTCGCTTCGAGCAGCAGGTTCCCCTGCGGGCGGCTGGACCTCCTCCTGCGGCCTGACCTCTGTGGCCTCGCGCGGCTGTGACGGTCCGCCGCCACTGCCACCTGCAACCACCTCGTCTCCTGCCTGTGCAGGGCCCGTCACAGGCCGCTGCCATTCGTCCTGCTGCTTGGCCACCTTGGCCACACGCCTCGGCGACCGCGAGGGCGGCGTCAGCTCGGCCAGCCTCGGTGAGCTGCTGCGCACTCGCGCACGGCGCCGCGCGCCTGGCCCTCCGCCGCCGCCCGCAGCCCCTGCCTCTCCTCGTGCCGCGGCGTGGCGCACCGCGGCTGCACGCCTGCCGCCGGCTCGCCCGCTCGGGCCAGCCGCTGCGCTGTAGTCCTCCGCTTCGTCCGCCAGCACCTGGACTCCGCTGGCCACGCGTGGCTGGGGCGGTCCGCCGCCGCTGCCACCTGCAGCCACCTCGTCTCCTCTCTCGGCAGGGCCCGTCTCAGGCCGCTGGCTGCCCTCCTGCCGCCTGGCTACCTCGGCCGCCGTCCTCAGCGCCAGCGAGGGCGGCGTCGGAGCGTCCTGCCTCGGCGAGCTGCTGCGCACACCCGCGCGGCGCCGCGGGCCTGGCCCGCCGCCGCCGCCTGCAGGCCCTGCCTCTCCTCCTGCGGCCTCCTGGCGCGTTGCGGCTGCACGCCCTCCGTCAGCTCGCCCTCTCGGGCCAGCCGCACTGCGGTAGCCCCCGTGGGTCAGGGGACGCAGCAAGCCCGCGTCCTCACCGCCACCTGGAGCTCCTTCTGGCTTGCGCAGGGCGTGGCCGTCCTCCTCCCCCGCGACGTCCTGCGGCGACTGGCCTCTCACCTCCTGCGCGTCGTCCGCCATCATCGGCGGGGGCGGACCGCCGCCGCTGCCACCTGTGGCCACCTCGTCTCCTCCCTCTGCAGGTCCCGCCTCACGCTGGGGCCTGCTGCGGTCTAACCCCTCACCGCGCGGGGGACCGCCGAGTCTCGCACTGTCCGCATCCACAATGCTGCTGCCCACTGGCACGGGCATGGTCCCTCGCCTATGCCACTCTCTGTGTTCGCGGTTCACGTGGTATCCGCGGGCCAAGCCCTCCCCCTCGCGTTCAGTCTGACGGTTTCCCAGGGTATGGGTCCGCTCTGTTAGTTGCGAGGTCCTGTCTACCACACTGTTGGTCAAAAGATCCGCGTCATGCTCACTGGGCTCGTCAGGGACCTCAGCTCGTCCTCTCAGGCCAGCCGCCGCTCTGGAGCCCTCAGGGGTCAGGGGACGCAGCGAGCCCGCATCCTCCCCTGCCCCACCACCTGGAGCTCCTCCTGGCGGCCTCAAGGAGTGGCCGTCCTCCTCTTCCGCGATGTCCCGCGGCGACTGCCCTCTCCCCTCCTGCACGTCGTCCGCCAGCACCGTGATGTTGACTGCCACCTCACTGACCACCTTCGGAGCCAGCCCCTTCCTCAGTCTCGCGACTGCGGCGGCACCTGCAGCCGACGGGACACTCCTGCACTCGAGGTGGAAGGAGCTCGCTCTGGCCGCGCCTGTGAAGCCGCACGCCCTGCAAGCGACCAGCGGCATCCTGCGCACCAGCATCCTCCAATCCACAGGCGCAAGGAGCACCAGGTCGTGCGACGCCCTCTGCTGCGCCTTCAGCCTGTTGTTGGCCCTGATCGCCTCGGCGACGATGCTGCCAGGGCACTCACCTGATCTGCCTGACCATCTGCAGACCTCGCACCAGGGACGCTGGCCAGGCAGCCTCCGCCAGACGCAGGCCATCCTCGCCGCTGGCTCCTTGCGCACTGGCAGGGCTCGCCGCACCTTCGTCTTGCCGTGCGTGGTGTCGCTGCCGTCGACCCAGCTGCCGACAGCCGCGCACCACATGGCTGCTCGTTCAACCACGTCACGGCTCCTCTCCAGGCGCTCTCTGTCCCTCGCGGGGAGGCGCCCGCTGGCCGCCGCAGCCTTTGCCGCCCTGTCAGCCAGTCGGTTGCCGTACCAATCTCTGTACAGCACTTCGCCTGCCGCCACCTGCCGCCGCGTACTGTGGCTGGGCATCCACCTGAGGCTGACCTCTTGCCCGAGACCTCCTCGCTCGTCCAGCAGGTCCCAAGCTCGCCTCCACAGGTGCGCCCACGTGTACGCGTAGCCCGTGGTGCCAACCCTGCCGACCTTGTAGAAGCCGTCGTAGACGTACTTGGAGTCGACCACCAGCACCGTGATCCCTTGGCCAAACCTGAGCGCCATGATCACCGCCGTGAGCTCCCCGCCGTTGATGTCCACGCAGTGGCCCTCCATCTGGCCAGCGATGGAGGCCTTGTAGCCGTCGCTGTGCGCCTGCAGCGCCACCACACTCCAGCCCACTGCCGCCACCTCCTCGTAGTCCGCCTCGAACGCCGAGCCGTCGAGAAACAGCTCGCCTTCAGGAAGGGTGCCTCCTTCATGGTCGCCCTTCCAGCACACGTCGCTGCACACTGGCGGGCGGCGGATGCCCCGTGGTGTCGGCCACAGGCACCTCTCCAGCAGCAACTGCACCTCAGGCCTCCCGCCCTGCCTTCGGAGACCTGCCAAGTCCTCTGGGACGGTCAGCACCTCACTCCAGCACGGGCAGTCGAAGTGCCTGTGCATCAGCGTGCCCCTGGCGCCACACCTCAGGCACCCAGCACTGGGCGCCAGCCCCTTCTCCTCCTTGCGCGCCTGAGTCCACTGCCCGTCGATGATGAGGGACCTCAGGTAGGCCTGCTCACGCGCCGTCAACCGAACTCTGGTGCGAGGTGCTCCCTCCTCACGGCGTGGCTCGTTGGCTTTCCTGGCACAGCCAGAGGACGTGAGCCTGACCAGGGGCTCCAGCTCGCCGCCACCAGCCAAGTGCGCGCAGCCTGGGGCTTTGCTGACCTGCCTCCACTGCCAGCGCTGCACTGCTCTCCTCATCAGCTTGGCCACGACCCACGGCGCGCAGTCGAAGGGCGCGATGGCCTCGCCGTCGTCCATGACCCAGCGGTTGGCGGCGACGACGTCCCATCCGATCCTCCTGAGTGAGAGCACCGTCGCCGCGCACGGGCCCTGCACGTGCACCCAGGACACGGGCCGCTTGTCCTCTAGGCCCTGCCACACCATGTGCATCGGCACCCACTGCTCCCATACCGCACGCAGCAACATCAGCACCGGCTTGCAGGTCGCGTCGTAGATCGGGTCAAGGCCTGCCTGGAGCATGAGCCCGAGCGACCTGGACTTGCTCGCCGTGGTGCTGGAGACCGCGACGAACGTGAGGGTCCTGGCGCGGTCCAGCTCCCCTTCCGTGCAGCCCGTGATAGCCGTGCCGTACCCGATGCATGGGTGCAGCCCCGTCTTCACGATCCTCTTGGTGGCCTTCCGCTTGGTCTTGACCACCTGCAGCACTTTGATCCTGCGCAGTCTGCCTCTCGCCTGCGCCATCCTGTCGTGGCGAACCGCCCGTCCTATCCTCTTGCCCCCACTGAAGTCGACCCCCAAGTTCCTCTCCTGCCCCGTGGCGCGCACCCCCAGAGGCTTCATCAGGCGCTTCTCGAGCTCCTGCCTCGCTGCTGGCACGTTCGCTAGCGCCCTGGATTTCTTCGCCGCGATCTCCAGGTCGGCCTCGCCGAGCAGTACCTTGAGATGTCTGGCCGCCAGCGTGAGGTCATTGACTGTCCGCCTGAAGCCGCCCACCCTCTTCAAGATGATGTCATCCACGACCACCGACATCGCCAGCGTGGGCACCAGCTCCTGAAGCTTGTCCAGCGGCTCCAGCAGCAGCATCTTGAGCATGAGCGTCGCCAGCCCGTCTCCAGGCAGCACCGCCTGCTCGGTGCAGATGGCGTTGCTGACGGCTTCGTCCCGCGCCAGCCACCTGGGCGCTCGATACAAGCTCACCTGCAACTTGAGCTGCCAGAGCGGGAAGCCCGTCCGCTGGGCGGCCTGGATGAGGCGCCCATGCTGCACCTGCTCGTACGCCTTGAGCAGGTCCAGGAGGATGAGGGCCGCGACCCAGCTGGATGCATCGCCAGCTTCGCGCCCCTTCGCTGTCGCCCACTCGCACTCCACGGCCTGCTGCCAGACTGCCCTCTCGCAGCCTCTGCCGCGCGCCGCCCAGAAGAACGGCCGATCATTCCTGCGCTCCCACTCCTCCGCCAGGGGCTTGCGTAACCTCGTCTGCACCCTCGCGAGGACGTGCACGATGGCCACGGGGCGCACGCCGCCCAGCCTCTTGGCCAAGAACACGATCTTGCTCTGGATCTGCGGCCACTCCGCGGCCTGCTCGACCGCCACCACGATGTCGATGAGGGTCTCTATCCCCTCGTCGCTGAGCTCCAGCAGCTGCCTCGGCTTGATCGCCTCGAAACCCGTGGCCGTGCCCTTCCTGAAGGACCTCAGGACTGCCCGCATCACCTCGCAGCTGGGCCTGGGGGGGCGCTCACCTAGGTCGGTCGGCCACTCCAACTCGGCGTGGCTGCACTGCACCCTCCAGATCTTGCTCCACTCCTTTTCCAGGTCGTCCAGCTCCTTGCTCAGGCTTGCGGGTCCAGCATCGATGCTGCAGTCGCTGCCCTGCCAGCCCACCGCCACTCGCGTGACCGCGTGGAGCCCTGCCGCTCCTCCTGTGAGCTGCTTCCCAACCCACTCGTCGAACTGCCTTCCCCTCTCGTCGACATCACGCTTGGCGAGGTGGCTGGCGTGCTTCTTCGCGCGGTCGGCCAGCCTCTCGAGCAGCAGGGGGTGCCAGCACGCCAGGCCCCCATGCTGCAGCATCCTCAGCCAGCGCCCAGCCTCCATGCTGCAGGAGGTGCCGCCTCCTTCCCCTGCACGGGCCTCCTCGTCCTGCTGCAGCTTCCTGACTCTCTTCGGAGCCGCCGCCACCAGCTGGGGCAAGTAGCAGATCGCGTCGACCCTGGCCCTTGGTGCTTTCAGCTGCGCCATGGCCCCCAGCGCGTGGGCCACCCTGGCCATCCACGCTGCCTCAGGCGTGAGCCTCGGCGACCTGGGGTCCTGCACCCCGCTGCGCTTGACCAGCTTGGTGGCGAAGCCGTCCGCTCTACCAACGTACCTGGCCCTCTGCTCCTCCAGCTGGTATACGTCGACCCACTCGTCCTCTGCGCACTCCAGGAAGGTAGCGAAGGCGGCTGTGAGGGCTCCCTTAGCCCCCTCCCCCGCGGCGCCCTGGGCCCGCACGTCCTGCTGCAGGTGCAGGGCCTGCCCCTCCGCGGAGGCTGCCTGCCTCCTCTCGACCCAGAGGCTGGGGGGCCTCACGTGCACTCCTTCAGCCTCTTCAACCTGAAGGGGACTACCCGCGATTCCGTACGGTGCCTGGCTCGGATGTGCACTGCCAGTCCCAGCATGGGGAGGAATGTCCGCCTGCTCCTCCTGCGCAGCGCTGCCCGCGGCACCGCTGCCCTCACTCTCCGCTGCGTCGGCTCCATGCGCTCCTGGCGCCCGAGCCCCGAGGTGCGCTGGCTGGACCTCGCCGCTAGGTGCTGCACCGCTGCTGCTGGGCTGAGCGGCCTCCTCCTCGGCGGCAGAGGTCGCCTGCCTCTTCTCGACCCAGAGGCTGGGGGGTCTCACGTGCACTCCTTCAGCCGCATCAACCTGAAAGGGCCAACCTGCGATTCCGTACAGTGCCTGGCTCGGAGGTGCACTGCCAGTCCCAGCATGGGGAGGCCTGTCCGCCCGCTCCTCCTGCGCAGCGTTGCCCGCAGCGTCGCTGCCCCCTCTGTCCGCTGCGTCGGCGCCTTGCGCTCCTGGCGCCAGGGCCCCGAGGTGCGCTGGCTGGTCCTCACCGCCTGGTGCTGCGCCGTGCCCTTCCGCGCCAGCTTCTCGCCTTAGCCCGCAGCTGCCGAGGATGCTCTGCCACTCCTCGCCATGCTGGACGCAGCACCTCATCAGGTTCGCCTCCGTCACGCAGGCCGGTGGCGCAGGTGCGATCGGGAGCACGCTGCTTAGCGGCCCCCATCTCTCCGCCGCAGCTATCCCCTCATCTCCCGTGCCCTTCGCTGGCCTGGGGGGCTCCTGACCCGCTGCACGCTGCCCTGCTGCACCACCATTGCTGCTGGGCTGAGGGGCCTCATCCTCAGCACGTGGGGTGCTCCTCGCCGCGGCCTCGCCCTTGAACCTCAGCACTGAGGCGAGCTGCTCCCGCACCCTCAGCCTGGCTTGCCTCCACCTGCTGTCGTGGTCCCTCTCACAGCACCCTTGTGGTCGAACCTCAGGAAAGGTCCGCGGCTTCTGGACCAGCCTGAAGCGCTCCTCCTCCTGCTGCCTGCGGATCTCGAGAATCACAGCCGAGTGCGGGTACACTGGCGAGGCCTCCACCACCCGCACCCCCAACGCAGCCAGCCCCTTGGAAACCAGGAAGAAGTCGATGGTCCTCCCTGATGCTGCGCACGTGGGCGATGCAGGCCTGACCACCTTGCCATCGAACATGTCGGGCACCCCGCCTGCCTGCAGCTCCTCCTCCGTGAGGTTCCAATCGCCGCCCACTACGAAATCCCTGCGGCACTGCCTCAACCTCCTTGCCAGCCTCCTGAGGCTGGACACGTTGCTGTCGTTGAGGCCGACCCCCGCCTCCAGGTAGATGTTGGCGAGCAGGAAGCCGCTGCGCAGCACGCCTGACACCCAACACAGGTGCACTCGCCCAGCCACCAGCACCGCTGCCTGCTGGTCCTGCACCTCCGCCATGCCGTGGCTCCTCCTCACCATTGTGAGGAGCCCTCCTGTGCTGAGGCCTCCTGCCGCTGACGGCACCGCGGGCGTGCCTCTCGCCCTCCATCCTTGACTCCGCAGCTGCGCCTCCGCGTCATTGCTCCTGCCCTCCAGGAGCCTCGTCTCCTGGACCAGAATGGCGTCGCAGTCCTGCACCTCGCTCACCGCCATGCACTTGCCCAGGTTGCAGAACGCATTGACGTTGACCGTGCAGATCCTCCAGACCCCGCACTTCATGCTAGGACTCCTCCTCCATCTGCTTGACCTCCGTCCGCATCTTCTTGGCGTCACCCAGCAGCTGCTCGGCTGCTTCCCTCTTGGCGGGGTCCTCCATGCCACACGCGATGTCCTGCCACACCTGCGCCGCCGCCTGCGACACGCCAGGTGCCTCCTCCTTGGGAGCGTCCCCCTGCTGCGCAGCTGCAGGCACCGCCGATGGCACGCGGACCGCCGCAGCCACAGGCGCACGGGGGGGCGCCCCCGCAGCGGCGGCAGCTCCAGGCAAGCCACTGAGCTCCGCCAGCACCTTCCCGAGCTTCGCGATCTCGTCCCTCGACAGGCGGCCGATCGCCTCCTGAATCGACTCCAGGGAGGCCGCTGGTGCTGCTCTCGGCTCGGCGGCAGCTGCCACCGCCTCAGCCTCCTCGGCCGCCAACCTGGCGCGCTGAGCCGCCAGCGCCTCCCGTGCCTTGGCCGCCGCCTCGTCGCACTCCTTCCGCAGCAGCACCAACTTGTCCGCGAGGCTGGCCGACTCGTTGATGGCTGCCACCGCCCTGGCCTTCGCCTGCTCCAGCTGGCCCTCCAACTTCTTGACCTGCACGACCTTGGCGTCCGCCAGCACCTGGGCCGCCTTGACCGTCTTGTCCTTGGACAGCTCGGCCCCCAGTCCGCCCTCACGCAGCCTCCGCGCCTGCAGCAGCTGCTCGCGGACCTTCGGGGGCAGGAGCGCGGCGGCGAGGGCGAAGTCGGCCTCTGCCATGCACACGAAGCCACAGCGCTGCTCCTCGCTGAGCACCACGGCGCCTCCAGCGTCACGGCCGCCACCTTCTCCACCACGCCACCACGGGGCCCGAGTGGGAGGCTTGCCGCCGCCAGCCCCACGCCCGCCGAGCCCGCCGCCAGCGCCGCCAGGAGCACCACCACCGCCGCCACCTGCATTCCACCCACGCAGCGGAGGAAAGGCGCCCAGCTGCCGCGGCGCTGGCCACCCCGCTGGCTGGCACCCCTTGCGACAGCACGTCCGCTCGGCGAAGTTGTAGTAGTCGCACACCGAGCACTTCCACTTCGCAGGCCACGCCGCACGTCCTCCTCCACGCCCAGCACCCACGCCGCCGCTGCCCGCCATGGCGCGCGTGAGTTTGGAAGGAGGCCGCCCGACTGCCAGAGTGCACACACTCTTGCCTGCGCACGGTAGTGCGATCCAGTGAAGCACGGAGGCTGAAAGCCCCCCGAGCAACCCATCTTGAGCCAAAATGGCTACGGAGGAGGAGGAGGAGGAGGAGGAGGAGGAGGAGGAGGAGGAGGAGGAGGAGGAGCTGTCCCCCGGGGTGCCCTCTGGCTGGAGCGCGAAGGCGGAGCTCCAGCCGTGGCGACGAGCCCCCCCCCCCCCCTGGAGGCCCAGCAAGAGGGGCGAGCAGAGGTCCCCAGGTGCGCCCCTCTGCACGCCTGCGGGGGGCCACCGTCGGGGCCTGCAGAAGACGCGAGGATGTCATGGTCCAAAACAAGACGAAAAGCCAGGACGAGGATCCATTCGGTGCACAGGACGCGAGGACGTCGTGGTCCAGTAAGGCGAAGCCAGGACGAGGATCCCTTCGGGTGCGGACAGATCGAGAATCTGTGAGATACCGCGGCTCTGGAGGTTATCTCGGTCGCCGCGGCCTTCTCAGAGAGCTCTGGAACGGATTTATCCTCGTCCTAGCCTCGTCCAATCATGGTCCGAAGTACTTTCGTCACTGTTTGGGTCCTCCCCCGAGGACCCACGCCTCCGCGGAGGCGACGTCGCCGCTCGCGCACAGGGCCCCGATCACCGAGTTGACGCACGCGGTACTGGGCCGAATCGTGGGCACGCAGTCGGCGAAGGCGCCAAGCCTGGGAGTGGGAGGGCTCTTGTCCTGACCTTCCAGAAGTGCTAAAGAAGCGCACCAAGACCTCGACATCTAAACTCTGGTTGAGGTTTCAAGCAGTCCAGATAGGTCTGTAGGTCTGGAGGGCTACTTTTCAGCACTCTGGAAGGTCAGGGAGCGGCCCTCTTGGGGCGCTTTCCCCTGACAACCTCGCGTCGTGAACAAAAAGTGATAACGGGCGGTGTCTAACAAGGTTCGTTGGGGGCCCTTGCCGCGGGACCGTCAAACAACGGCTTGGGATGAAAAGCCGGTCTCCGGGAAGGGGCCCAGACCTCTGGAAGCCAAGCTGCGAAAAAAAGACACGACATCGGATGTCTGGGTTTGGATCCCATGCGGGCATCTTGGCCCTTCCTGGACATTTCTGGGCCTTCCTCGGGGGCTCTCGGGGCCACACTGAGGACTTCAAAGCAAATCGAAGCACGGAAAGCGATGAGGCCAATATCATTCGCAGCCCATGTGTGTTTGAAGGGTGGGGGTCTCTCAGGACCATCCTAGGGGGGGGGTCACCACTGGGAGGGTCGCCACCCTGTCGAGGAAGACGACCCCTCTGGACCGCCCCCCCCCCCAGATCCTCCCAAGACGATCCAAACTCGTCCAGCACCTCCTCGAGCCCTGACCCTCGACCGTCGATCCTCAAGAGGAGCTGGCGACGCCCCTGGTGGTGACCCCCCTTTGCACTGCCCGAGGGGAGGAGGGGGCTGGGAGGTGCCCGTCGGGGGACGGCGGGGGGGGGAAGCGCTTTGACGAGCCTCGGTCGCCGCGGGCCCTTGCTGGGCCCCAGGACCGCCAAAAAAAGCAAGCCAGGATGACACGCCATCGCTCGGACGCCCATCCCCCGTGCATTGCTACGTCTCGCGCGTGCTGCGTTGGCGAGATGATCTGGGATGCTCCTCGGTGGTCCTCGCCGGGGAACAAATGCACGCGTCCGAGCGATGCCGAGACAGTGAGCAGCCGGCCCCCAGGGCGGGGGTCCAGACCTCTGGGGTGGCACGCTTCCCGCCCGAGAGGCCCCTGAGACGCCCCAAGAGGGCTCCGAGATAACCTCCTGGGGGCCAGCATCATGCCATGTGCCTGCGGTTGTTCCATAGCTTTCGCGTTCTCGCTTCTTCGGGCCTCCGGCCTCCGAAGACCGCCCCAGAGGCCTCCAAGATAGCCCCAAGACGGCCGCAGAGGCCCCCAAGAGGGACCCAAGACGGGCCACGAGGGCCCGAATTGAGCCTGCCCACGAGGCCCCCAAGACTGCCCCAAGAGGGCCCCCAAGACGGCTCCACATACTTCCAAAGAGGCCCCCAGACGCCACCTTCAGAGGCCCCCAAAGGGCTCTTAGAGGCCTACAGAAGGCGCCCAGGAGGCCCCGAAGAGTCCTCCTTTTACTCCTCCTTCTTCTGCTCCTCCGTCTCCTCCTCCTCCTCCTCCTCCTCCTCCTCCTCCTCCTCCTCCTCCTCCTCCTCCTCCTCCTCCTCCTCCTCCTCCTCCTCCTCCTCCTCCTCCTCCTCCTCCTCCTCCTCCTCCTCCTCCTCCTCCTCCTCCTCCGTCTCCTCCTCCTCCTCCTCTTCGTCTTCTCATCCTCCTCCTCCTCCTCCTCGTCCTCCTCCTGCCCTCCTCCTCCTCCCCACCTCCTCCTCCTCCTCCTCCTCCTCCTCTTCCTCCTCCTTCTCCTTCTCCTCCTCCCTCTCTCTTTCTCTCTCTCTCTCTCTCTCTCTCTATTTCTCTCTCTCTCTCTCTCTTCCTCTCCGAAGTGTTCCCCCAAGGGTTCCCACAACGACCGGGGGGACCACATAATCCAATAGCTTGGCCAGGCCTCGGCCACACGTTTGGTCACATGGGCGCTTCCAAAAGGCAGTGGGCGCCGTTGATTCACCGAGGGCGTCTTCGATACGATGCGTATCGACTCCATTCCAGGCTGGGAGCCGACACGACTGGGGGTCCCAAAACGGTGCGGTGGCAGACCGTGCAGCGACCTCGAGATCCCAAGAGACCTCACCGCACGGTCCGTCACCGCACGATGCCGGGGCCCGGAAGGCCCCGAGGCCCCCGTCGAGCCCGAGACCTCCTCGGAGAGCGGCCCGGGTCCCAGACCCGTGCGGTCGCCCCGAAGCCGCACTGACTCACCGCACGATGCAGTCACCACACCGTCTGGGGGGGGCCCACACGATTAGAGGCCCCCCAGATGGGGTCCGAGTAGACGGGGTCGGAGGATAGCGCCGCATCGCCAATGCACCGGCGATGCACCGGCGATGCATCGGTGATGCATCGGCGATGAACCGGCGATGCATCGCCGATGTCGACGTGAAGCAAATCGGGCTGCACATCGAGCCGCATCGGCGATGCATCGACGATGCATCGGCGATGCAGCGCGATCCTCTGACCCCATCTACTCCGACCCCATCTAATAGGCCTAGAATGATACAGTCGGCCCGTATCATAAGGGTGCGAGGTAGAAGGATGCAAGGGTCTTGGACGCCCACTTCGAAGCTTTTCGGGCGGGGCGCGGCCAACGGAAGTGGCCAAGGATGGACCGAGGAGGCAACGATGCCGAGGGCACCCTTGGGAAGGGTGCCCAGCCTTACTTGCTACGCGGGTTAACTGTACCCAGGGTCCACCGCTGGCCTGCGGAGGCCCGCTGTGGTGGCGGCGTGTTGCGCTATACCTCTCTCAGGGCGGGAAGGGCGAGGGGGGGGGAGGCCGGGGTGGACGGTAGGTGGGGCAGGGCCGTCGTGCTGTCATGAGGAACGCCGAATGAGGAACGCAGGAGCGCTTCTGGCCACGGCGATCCTCGATCACGAGTGCGCTGCCCGACCCAAATCTACAAAGATCAGAGCCCCTCCCGGGCCCCAAGGGGTTCAGGAAAGTCGCCCTGACCGCACGAAGGAGACAAAGGAGAGCCTCAAGCTGGGTTCCCTCACGAACCCACCGTGGGCTGCAGCGCAAAAAAAATAAACAAGCCGAACACAGAGGAAGCACCTGCTCACCCTCTGACCATCGCTCGGACGTCCATTCCCTGTGCTTTTGTTCGGTTTCGTGAGTGGCTTTTTCGCCAAATGATCAAGGATGCTCCTCGATGGTCCTCGCCGAAGGAAAAATACGCACGTCCGAGCGATGCCAAGCCCTCGAGCAGGTCCTGGGGGCAGGAGGAGCCTGGACCCGCAGGCTCCCGACCGGCCACAGCTCCTGGGGCTGCGGTCCCCGGTGCGGCCCGCTTGGAAGCACACATCGGGCAGGGACGATCAACAGGTAGCGGTTTCTCGTCCGGGTCACTGGCACGGACCTGGCGGCCTCGACAGCGACGACGACGACGACGACGACGACGAAGACGAAGACGAACCGTGGATATCTTCTCTTTAGTCGCCCACTTCCCAGGGGGGGCGCTGCGACCCACGCCCCGGACATTTCTGAATCGCTGGATCGCTTCACGACCCCCAGGGGACAGCCCGAGAGGTCTGGACCCCCTCCCATCGCTTTTCGTCCGGAACTGTTGTTTTGTTGCGCAGGGGCCGACCGTCTCGGCACCCCTGCAGGCCTACCACGAAACATTCCGAGAACCAACACATGCTCTCCGAACAAAAACAAGGTTCCTAGAACCTCAGACCGAGGTGCTGAAACAAGACAGTCTCAGCCAGAAATGCTCTAAGAACATTCCGTGCAAACTGCAACAAGTTCTAAACGCATTTTCTGGTGGGCTCACAGGCAAACCAGGACTCCTCGCCACTGCTTGATGTTGACTGCCTCCTGGGGCCCTGCAAGGGGCCCCCGGAGGCCGAACATTGCCGCAACCCTTTCTGTCGGGACCTTCTGCGTGGCGCAAGTACGCATAGCTTTCGGGGCATAGCCGGGGCCTCTGGCACGCTCTCGGCGACGCGCAGCTGCTGGAAAGAATCCCGAGGCGAACAACACTCTAAAAGACTGACGAGGACGTCTGACCAAGTCCTCCCCGGGGGGGACCCACCTGTTTGGGCCAGGGGGGACCCTCCGCCTCCGCCTCCGCCTCCGCCTCCTCCTCCTCCTCCTCCTCCTCCTCCTCCTCCTCCTCCTCCTCCTCCTCCTCCTCCTCCTCCTCTCCAGCCACCTGGGCCCAAGGGATCTGGCTCCTTTGCCAGGTTGTGCCCTGGGCGCGGGTCCCGGCGCTTAATGTGCCCGGCTGGGGCTGGGCCTGCGGCTTGAGGACGCGGTGGGCCGCGCAAGACCGGGTAGCAAAACAATGGTGAGGCGCCGCGCACGTGCCCCGAGCGCGTGGACGAGGGCCCCTGGCGTGGAGGCGCAGCCGCAGCCCCTCGTCGGCGCCGTGGGCAAGAGAGGAGTGCGGGCGCACCCGCAGGCCGAGCAGGGCCAGCTCGACGTGAAGGCCGAGTTGGAGGCGGGTATGGTCGCGGAGTTCGCGACGTTGAGTGCGTTCGCCAAGTGCGTGGCGTTCATGGAGCAGGTCGAGCCGACCGAGGTAGAGCAGATCGAGACGATCGAGGTGCGGGAGATGGCCGGGTTCGAGGCGCAGCACGGGGAGAAGTTCCAGGTGGCAGCGATCGCCAAGCGCGAGGCAGCCATGGAGAAGTACGGCGTGCAGGAGCCGAAGCAGAGCCTGGGCTACGGCGAGGATATGGAGCAGGAGATCGCCCTGGCCAGCGTCCCCCCGTTCCCGTGGCTCGAGCCCGTCAGCAAGGAGAATTGGGCCGACCTCGGCGACGAGGAGGTTGCCCAAGCGCTGACGGTGAAGGTGCTGAAGCTGTACCCAGAGACGGGTGTGGAGTGCATCAGGGCCGTGGACCGCGGGGCGTACGTGGAGCACGACGGGGATGAGAAGCACGACGACGCGAAGAAGGAGACCGAGGCTAGCATCGCCGAGGCGCCGAAGTGCGTGCAGACCTACGTGGACCTGGTGGGCACGTGGGACGAGGCCAAGGACTGCGAGTTCATGAAGGCGGAGGGCACCGAGGAGGAATTCGAGAAGAGCTCGGACGCCAGGGTCGACGACGAGCTAGAGGAGGCCGTTGACCCCGTGAAGATGCAGGACCTGGAGGAGAAGTGGGACAGGGTCGACGACGAGCTAGATGAGGCCGTTGACCGCGTGAGGCTGGAGCAGGAGCTGGACATCATCGGCTGCGAGTTCATGAAGAGCCTGGGCCGTATTATGATGCACAGCTGCTTCAGCAGTTGGCGGCTGGACGTCGCCAGCGACAAGGTGAAGAAGTTGCAGGAGAAGGGCAGCGCGATTGAGGTCGAGCTGCAGAAGTCCATGAAGGTGCTTAGGAGGAGCGGCGACGGCGGCACCGAGAAGAAGACCCGGGGGCCCGCGAAGCCGGAGCCCGTGCCCCAGGGGCCCGAGCAGAAGGAGCCCGTGAAGGGGAAGAAGAAGTAGGGGAGGAAGAAGGAGATGATCCGCGGCCCGAGCAACTGAGGTGTTAGGCTTGGCAGCGGGAAGGTGGCCTACAGCTGAGTGCTGCCTGGAGTGCGTTCCCTAAACAGCTTGCTGTCCCGTGGTCCTGGGGCCGTGCGGGCCCGTGTTGGCCTTCGGGGTGCTGTTTGGGGGTCTTCTGCCTGGTAAAAAGAGGGCCCCTGCTGTGCCTGGTGTTGGCTTCGGCTCTCACCAGGGGTGGCACGGGTGTCCCTCGCGCCTACTGTGGCGCACTTTTAGAATCCATCGTTAGAATCCTCCTCCTCCTCCTCCTCCTCCTCCTCCTCCTCCTCCTGCTCCTCCTACTCCTATTCCTATTCCTCCTCCTCCTCCTCCTCCTCCTCCTCCTCCTCCTCCTCCTCCTCCTCCTCCTCCTCCTCCTCCTCCTCCTCCTCCTCCTCCTCCTCCTCCCTCCAGCCCTCCCTCCCTCCCTCCGTGCCTGCCTGATCTGCGAACCCGAGCACCCACCTCCTCCCGGCTAGCTGCGCGGCGCGGCGCGGGCAGGGCTGGTCGTGGCCGGCCTGGAAAAATCGGCCCTGCCCTATGCGAGGACTCCTGGGATCCCCTCTCGCCGGCCCAGGCTTGGGGCCGCTGGTCGTGGCGGGCCTGGAACAAGTGCCCTGCGCCATGCGAGGACTCCTGGGGTCCCCTCGGGTCGAGCCAGGTTTGGGGCCCGCCGTGGCTTGGTCATGACGCGAGCGAGGATGTCAAGCCCCCTGGTCCCGGACATCCGAGGATGTGATCTTTCAGTGCGCGGCCCAGGAGGTCCCGACCCCTTCCCCAGGGCCAGTTTTTCGCCCAGGATCCGGTCTTGATCGCCCCATGGCCCGATAAAGTGCCTCCCCGAGGCCGAAGTCGAGGAAAACCGCTCGGATCGAAGAAACCATACCGTCGGAGACCTGGGCAGGATCAGTCAGCACCGAATCGTGAACTCGGGTTGAATCGGAATGCGCGTCAGGTCGTGCTGCATCGGCACGGCGTCGACATCGAAGCGCATCGGCCGGGACAAGATGCCCGACATCGCCATGGGCCATGCAGGCCTTGGGCCGCCTCGGACCGCCGGACTGTCGGAATCGAACCGGCTCGAGCCGGGCCGCATCGACATCGAATCGGACCCATCGGATCGGCACGGACCCCGTCGGGGGCCCTGGCCGGCCTGGAAACGCTTGCCTTCGGTCGGGCCTGTCCCCCATACAGGCGGATTTTGGACGAAAAATGAAGAGCACCCAAAAAAATGCCAAAAGATAGTCACAAATGGTCGAAAAATCGCCCCCAGACTATGTTCTTACTAGTTTTTCAATATTCCTCCTGTAGAGGGACGGGCCCGACTGGACGCCGTTGCCCCGCCCCGGGAGAGCCACTCGTCCGCCTTCGCGGCGCTGCCGCCGCGGACGTGGCCGCCCACCAGCTCCCCGAACGCCACCGCCCAGCAGGGCCGGCGCTGGCGGCCGGGCGGCCCCCCGACCTCCCGCATCTTCTGGCGGGTCGGGGGCGCGCAGGCAGGAAGGGGCCCAAGGACACACAAATAAATACACACAAGTAAAATACTTCCCTATATTTTCTTATGTTTTCTGGGTTTCTGTCCTCCCCCCCCCTTCCCATATTTTCCCATATTTTCTGGGGAATCGACGATTAGTTGTGTCTGTGTGTTTCTTTCCCTCCTGAAAGCAGGCGGACGTTGGAGGAAGCCTGAGACATAGCCGAAACAGACAACTCGTCCAAAAGAGCCAAAACAGAACAAGAACAAGAACAAGATCGTCCCCAGACTATGTTTCGTACTGTTTTCGAACGCTCCTCCTGCACTCACACTCCTGCATGCCCGACCTAAGCGTAGCTCGGGGGCACGCAAGCATGGATTAGCGA